CATGACCCCCCCCCCCCCCCTTGATTCGTCCTTCTGAAACGTAACCTCGGCCGGCGGCGAAAACACGGCATGATCGCTCCGTCCCGGCGTTGTGGGGACGCGTGGCCAATGATATCACTAATCAGGGATGCAAAACATGAGTAGCCCTCCCCCCCCCCTCCGTGCACAGATTCCCCCCACTCACTGCTGCGAGGACTCCTGGACGGTCTTGCCGGCGGGCGCCTGGCCACACATGCCCTTGAAGACGTTGACGATCGCGTCCTTGGACTCGATGAGGGGGAGGAACACGACGAAAAGGGTGGCGACGAGGCCCCAAAGGATGGAGAGCGCCACCCAGAAGTCGAAGTACCCCTCGGAGAAGACGCCAGCGGGCAGGGATAGCACGGGCCAGAGGATCACGATCACGACGGTGAACGAGAGGCCAACCTTCATGATCCAGTTCTTAGCCTTGGCGAGGTCCACGTCGTTGTAGTCCGCTTCCGTGTGCCACGCGTTGTCGTAGGTCTCCACCATGGCGATGTTCCGGGTCGACTCCCAGTCGTAGTCGTCCGGGTCGGCGAGGGAGACGACGATGCACACGATGCCGCTGAAGCAGATCGCGATCAGGTTACCTGTAATCGTCGTTACCCGGGTGCTTGGTTTAAATTTAAAATAAGTGGTACACAATATTATTCAAAAATAAACACATGCAGGACGACAAAATATACCCGTCGAGATACAACCACAGCAGTGGAAGGGGATGGTCTCAAGGGACCAACAAAACAACAAGCGCGACATACGGAAGCACAAACACGTTGACCCCCAGGCCAACTGTGTTGTAGTACGTCATCCTATCGATACCGAGACGCCGCGATCCGTATCACATAAAGACAAGTGTCTCGACTTGAAGTATGTAATATGTGAATGGCTTCCGCAGAGCAAGCAGCACAAGAAAGCGTGTGCATGAGCACGTACCGGTCAGCATGGGGTAGTTTTGCCCCGTGCTGTCGATGGTGATCTCGCCCTCCAGTGCCTGGGCCGACACGAGCCAGCCGATGATGGCGCAGATCTGGCCGAGGATGGCTCCCGCGATGGCGCCCTGGAAATTGATAAATCATTGAAGGGCACACACAGAGCAGTCAAGCGAAGGGTGAAATTGGGGTCGTGTGTATTCCCAATAGCATAAAAATCAAGAGAACAGCTCCGATGAGGGCTAATGATGATTAAACGGCGCGCGAAACGTCTATTATTTTAGTAGCCGAGGGGACGACAACAAATATGCACGAAACCCTCGAACGGCCGATCCCCTCTCCGTCACCTTAGCGGTGGCCTTTTTCCAGGTGAGCACCATGGAGACAGGCACGACGGCGGAGCCGATGACGACGCCCATAAACAGGTACACCCAGCCGAGGTTGAGGCCCATCTCGTTCAGCACGATGGAAAGCAAGCCCATGAGGGCACCGAACACGAACACGGTGATGCGAGACACCTTGAGGATCTCGTCGCCCGTGGCGTCCTTTTTGATGTACGCGCGGTACACGTCGTACGAGATGAGTGAGGAAACCGCGATCAGCTCGGCGGAGCCGGTAGAGGTCACCGCCATGAAGAGCATGATGAGGATGAGGGTCGCGCCGCCCTTTCCGAGCACGAACAGGGCGGTGGCCGGAGGCACAAGGCCCGACCCGGCCTCGTCGCCGGTGAGCGGGAGCTGCATGGCGAGCGCCGCCAGGCCCAGGGAGGTGGCCAGCGCGAAGGGGATGCTGTTTTTATTGTGGTTGTTTTTCGGGTGGGTGGTTGGAGAAAAAAGACGACGGGACGAGGACAGGATAGTTCGTGTGAGATGATGTTCAACAGACGTGGGCCGTCTGCTGCGCAATCCATTTCGCGAACTACAAAACACACACACAAACGCGACTTGTCTTGGCTCCCAAAAGGAAGGGGCACATCGAGTGTGAAGGAAACACTGCGTCCAGCTATCAGTCCAACAGGACGCGAAACACCTCGCTTATCGACGAGACAACCGATCGCCTGAAAAATTGTCGAGTTGCCAAAAAGCTCGAGACAGGAAATCGGCTTGGACGGGGAGGGGAGAGGAAACTCCTCTCCTTCAGTCTTGGTCGCTACAAAAGTGGCCGAAATAAACACCGTTACACGACGACCATTTGACCTACGTAAACCAGCACAGAAGAACACTGCACGACGACATTTACTCTCACGTGAACCAGCACATGCCGCCGAGGAGGTAGCCCTTGTGGGAAGACTGGGGCTTGGCGGCGATGGCGGACTGCCAGTACGACTGGTCGACGAACACGGTCCCGAAGTTGCCGACGATGTTGATGATACCGAAGATGAAGCCCTCGCGGGAGAGCATGGTGAGGTACGAACCTTCCTCGTTGCCTTCGACGGGGCCGCACGCGTACAGCACGTGCTTCATCGGGTCCGACTCCGGTCCGTATGTGCAGTCGTCCAGCTTGACGAGGGCCTGCAGTTTGTCGAACATTTTGCCCGGGCTGTGGGTGTTTTTGGTGAGGGCGGAGGGGAGGGGGGAGGGGGTCAGTTTGTTGGCGTGGTCGGGGGATGCCTGATGCGCCAGCGGGTGACGAAAGTGGCAGTAAAGGATGGTGTACAACCAGACGACGGCGAAAATGAAAAAAATCCAATCAAAGAAGCCCAGCTCACCTGCCGACGTATTTGTCGTCCCCGCTGTAGATGACAAACACGAAGATGAGGAGGGCCACGAAGAGGACTGTGGTGTGGGTGTACGAGGCGAGGAAGGTGGCCTTGAGCCCGCCGGCCATGGTGTAGGCGATCACGCCCCACGGGATGAGGAAGGAGGCCAGGTTGAGATCGAGCCCCGTGAGCGCGTTCACGGTGGCGGCGCCGCCGAGTAAAAGCATGGAGGTCACGATGATGTTGGTCAGGAGGGCAAAGAACAGGAACACCTTGTGCGCGGTGTCGCCCCAGCGGGCCTGGATGATTTCAAGGAAGGTGTGGCAGGTGGGCGCTTTGCGCTTGACCTCGATGGCGAGGATGCCGAACAACAGCACCTGGACGGTGGCACCAGATGCGTACCAGAACGGCCCGGACACGCCGTAGTTGAAGGCCACGTTGGACGACTGGAGGAGGGTAGCGGCCCAGGTCCATTGGGACACGATCACGGAGGCCGTGAGGCCGGTCTTGATGCTACGACCGGCGGTGTTGAACTGACAATGGGAAGACAGGCCGATTGATTATTGGAACATTCCGGAGGACCAGCCAGGGCGGGGACGCACGAACAGGCCGAGGAAGGGATAACGGCAAGGGAAGGGCGGTCCGGCACACAACGAACGTCAGAAAAGAATCGGGAAGTTTGTGATGATGCGTGCACGCTTGTGTGATATTTGCAAGTTACATGGCAAGTGTGCGCTCAAGTACCAGAGGCACTATGCCGTCGTTCCCGCTGTCTGCGATACTCCTATATCTCGAAAGTATTGTTATGGGGAAAATAGTCACGTTTTCTATTATCGTTAACTGTACTATTAATAGATCGAAAATGGGAAAATTCAGAGGGATGTGTCTGAGGGCTGCAACGCCGAGGGAAGTGTGCCTTGGTGCTGGGGCATGGACGTGTCTACTTTAGTTGTGCATGGACCATACCCTTTACCGTGCCATATGGAGTCTTCCACAACCATTTGCATTTACAACATTCATCAACAGCAGCAGAGCAGTGCGTGCTACGCCAACACTTTGCACATTATCAAAAATGGTGGCAGCCAGACGCAATCCACGACGAACCCTCCACTTGGGGTGAAAACATTGGCATTGTTTATGCTTTGCTTTCGCACGGAGGATGCCGAAGGAAATTATTGTACACACATGGACAACGCAAGGGGCCGACCACCCCCCAACAACACATGAATGAAAATACAACAGCAGTTTACGATAGGACTGAGGCAAAGGGATTCCCACCATATTTTTCGTTTCTCCCCGTCTCACCTGTTCAGACGTGATGCTGACGCCATTGAACTTTTGGTCAAGCCACACGAGGAAGGCTGGGTAGCGCAAAAGAAGAACAACGGACGACGAACACGCAGCCAACACCACGGAAAGATCCATCCACACCATCGAATGGAAGACAGCGGTAGCGTCGTCATTACCGCAGCGCAAGCGCACAAGGGACAGAACAACGTGGTGATGATGCACGTCAAAGATGTGTTGAGATAGCAAACGCGATACAGACGGGGGACTGGAGGGCGAGTGCGGCATCGGCCCTAATAGGACTTCGTTTTAACGTACTGCTAAGGAGGGCTATTCTTTTTTGGCGTGTCAAATATCTGTTGTGTTTTTTGAAATTACTCGCAACAAAAATCTTAACAGAAAGGCTACCCGTTCGAGATAAAACCTAGTGTATTCAGTTATGATGAAGAAACAACGCCACTGATAAAATGATATGATCGCTTTTCAACCAAACCACGGCAAAATTGGCTCGTACAGCAGTATCCATCGACCGCTGTCCTGGTCGTATGTATTGGTTCCGTCCGGGTATGGTGGCCGATCTCGGTTCGAGTCTATCTGCGCTCACGGACACGACGCACCCACCAGCATTAAGTTACCCGCTGACTTTCACGTGCACTATGCGTACAGCGGTAAGTTCCTGCTGGAGCCAAGCTGTCGCATGCACTTTTAAGTACTTCCTCTGTTCCAAAATGTAAGGCCGCCGTTTGGAAAGGAATGCAATATATGTCCAAAAATGAAAATACTGTTAACATGCTAAGTGGTGAGTTCGACTCTATTTTTTTTCGAAAACACACTTTTTTCATCAGTAGGAACCGAAGAACACCTCAAAAAAAGGAAAACGGGCATCCCTGAGTAGCTTAGACTGCGAGATTGCAACTATAATAAAAGAAAACGATGAAAGCCTTTTACCTTCACACAGGAAGTAAAGAAAGACGCTGTTTCGCCACTTACCATTTCCCTGGAGGAGATCAATATCGGCGATGGCTTTCCATCCGGGGGAGATTTTGTGTTTGTTTCTTTCACACCATGGCCCCGGCTGTCTAGTCCAAGCATGAAGAACGGTGCCCGGAAAAGAAACTCGAAACGAGCTTACACTTCGGTTATTTCCACATGGCCATTTATTTTTGGGAAGTTAACATACCTCACAGAAAGACTACCCGTTCGAAATACAACCTCAGTCGAAAGGGACGCTTTTATTTTGTAACAGAGGAACCGTTGGTAGTTTTATACTGCTGTAACACAGGAAGTATGTGGTAGCGGTCCCAACGGTTGGTGAATGTAGAAACGAGAAAACAATCCACCCAGGAGCTCGGAAAGAGCTGTAGGGCTCCCCCGGCTGCTACTGCTGTACCCACCCCCCACTAGAGTAACTTGTGTAACTACTCACTCGTGAAGAAGGAGAAGAAGATCCCGAAAATGAGCACGACGACTGAGAGACCCCCGCAGCCGCCGCCGCAAACGCCCATCGTACGTCATACCCAATCAAATCCCGTGCCGACACGAAGGGAGGGGACAAAAACACAGCAAGTCAGTCCGACAGGTGGAGGACAAAAGAGAGGCGGGCAGAAATGCGCAGGGTGGGTGGGTGTAAGAGCGGCCACACGACGAGGGACCGGGCGCACCCACGCAGCACGGTAATTGGATGCAGACATGCATAGGTTTAGGTTTGACGCGATTTTTTTCCCGCACGACGACATACGCAGACAGAGGCAGAGGGGACGCCGAAATGTGACGCGGACATGTTCTTCCATTTATTTTTTGTTCGGACGCCACATTCACGTGACGACGGCATCATAGAACGATTCATGCTTGGGGACACGTTTCTCTATCGTCTTCCAGCAACCGCGTGGGGAAAACTCACGACTAGGTTCCAACGCGGCGGCGCCTCTGCTGTGCACGTACATGGCCGACGGACAAAGGCAGCGTGCATATTGTAGATACAACGGTCGTGACGAAATCGTTCGACCGGACAAGCGATCCTTAAAATCCACTTCTCTGCTACACATTCATTCTGACCACACACAATCTTTCACAACAAAAAGTCGGCGCTACGCGGTAGCAGGTTTCCACGCAGCCAGACAGCCCTTACCGTATCCCACGGCCTCGCTGAGGGGCGGCTCTCCTCCGAAAAAGGAGTCCTGGGGATTCGTAAACGAGGCAAGAGGTGGGGTTTGAATTTTCAGCTGCAAAAGGTATAAGAAAACGTCGGAAAAAACAACGTATCGCTTTTGTTCCGGCGAGCGCCGAGCTCCGGCTTCGAATTCGAGGCAGGGAACGACAGGTTAGACGCGGAAACTAAATGAGGGCTGGGCGCTTTACATGGACGCGGGTCGCCTCGATCCATCCCTCTCTCGCAATATCATCTCGGTGTTTCCAACAAGAGCAACAGCGGCTAAGCATAGTCTATGCACCAACAACAAACAAAACTTCTACATCGGGGTTTGTACGGCTGTATGTGCGTGGTATGGACGGCAGAAAAACTGCCATGTCTACAGCAGTAGTGCCCATGCCAAAGCCAGCAAGAGCGCGAGGGAGTCGCGTGGGCAGCGTCGACCAACTGCCTGTGGCGCGCACTTGTAAGCTCTCGCTCGTGTCGAGTTGTAGTTCCGTTCCATGTCGGGGGAAGTACATAACGAAGTTTTTTCATGAACATGCACCGAACACGACCAACACCAACAACTGCCACGCACCAGCGTGAACTGCTGGATCCTAGTGTATGCAGGGCCACGCATTAACTATCGAGACAGCACTGGATGTGGTTGGTGTAGGATGGATCCATGCAGGCAGCGCAGAATAACAGCGCTGCCCGCGCTAGAGGGAAGCGAGGTGCCGCACGGCACCGCTGCTGTTGAGCAACCATCGAGAGAACAATTTGAATCAGCAGCTGATGAGCAGCTATTTACTTGCCAAAAAGAAGCGGTATATTTTACGTCGTGCGCTGCCCTCATGAGGCATTGCTGTTGTTCCCCTTCATTGACCTCTGCTTCTACTTTGTGCTTTCGCCGCACGAACGACCGAGGTCACTGACCTGGTCGATGTAGTCCTCAGGGACGGACGTCATGGTGTTGCTTGGTAGTCTGCGGTGACCAGGTGGAGGAGCAAACGAAAGAGTGAGAAGGAGGTGGGGCGGGAGAGTGAAGGTGGTGGACCCTGGGATGACGTTCAAAAATCCTATCTACGTGCGTGACGTCACCGTGCGGCACAAGAGGGCAGGAAAGGGAGGATAGATGACGTCATTATTTGTCCTGGAGCACGAATGTTCTGTGGAAGGGCGGAGAATCGAGAAACAACGCACAATGAATACATGTAGACTACGTCATGAAGAGGCGAGTCGTCAAACATAGCCTGTCTTGCTGAGCCTGTTACTTACAGGAGAAATATCGCAGTGTGCTGCTCGCGGCACCGCTGACGCCACGAATTTCATTGCTATCTTCGAGTTTTTGTATGGAGGATACGTGTAAGAAGAAAAGCGGCCAGAGTTGTAACGACAGCTCTGTGCAATTATTTGCTTTAGGAAGTTCTGGCTGCAGCGGTTACAGCCTATAATAGAGCTTCCTCGTTGGCTGCTGCTGCTAGTGGTTTGTCAACCACAATCACGTGCCCGGTGCACTATTTTGGACACGTGGCTGTCTCTCTCTAGCGCACTCTCAAGAGCAAAGGATTGCTGTACATGGTAATCTCCTCAGAGTTACAACATATAGCCACGCGCATACAAAAATGCGAAGTTTGTTCCTGATCGTGCGTTACTGCGGAATAAACTGCCGGCAGCATTCAGGCTCAGGATGTACATCTAATTATTCAAATTGTTCATGAGAAGTAACCAGAAACGGGTATGCCCGGATATATTATCACCATTTCAAGGTCTACTTGGAAATCAAGACGACACCAATCTCCGACAGCATCCGCCTTAGATCGCGGCGAAACCAATAAACCGCTGTCTGTGTCCTGTGTGTCCTGTCCCCGGAAGCATATGATGATGCACGAGGCAGGTCGGGCCCGTCTTCTCTCTCTGTGCGTCGCTCTCTCTCTGTGCTTTTTCTGATCATTACCACACCGAAGTACTCGCGCGTCAAGCGAGTCCGACCCTCTGTTGAGAAGGGCCGGTATCCTATGGAGGCGGTGCCCATGAACGATGAGCGAGCGAGCGTTATTGGTGGTTTGGTTGTGGTTCTGTATGTGCGGTACACGGTATGTGCGGTACTACACGTGTTTTTCTGCGGGTTTTATGCCTGAGCGTCGGGCGCCGGGATTATATGACCATATCTGGGTACAAACCCGACCCTTTCCGGGTACACCAGTAACCAATATTGGTTACACCAGGCGGTGTTATCTCCAGCGGAAGTTGTACCCGATGGAGGTTTCTCCAGAAATGGGTACAATGGTTTTTCGGCCAATCAGCTCACAGCCTGGGGGTGCAACCGTCTTGATTTCTAAGTGTACCCGAAGTGTTGACGAAGTACCCGGGTACACCCGTTTCTGGTTACTGGTCAAATTGTCTTCATTTATTTTGTCTCCCATAATTGGACTCTGTCGTCTGCCCCTCTGGCCCCTATCCTCCACTTCTACCAGCTAGACGACCCAACCGGCATCACATAGGAGGGCGGGGTTGGACCCCCTCCTACGGTTCCTGCCTGAGATATTTCTATCGAGGGTACAGCAATCCCTTCCTTCGCGACTTATGAAGTCGATTATCGAGGGTACAAGGAGCTTTGCAGCGCGTCGCTTCCAACGGAAACCAGGATTTTAATAGTTTTTTTTTTGGAAAAGTGTGGCCCGTTGGGGGTACGCTTTTTGTATTGTTTTGCAGAAAAAAAACTGTTTAGGGGGATCGTGTTGTTGTTGCTGTCGTTGTTTCTCACATTAGCTCTAAAAAAGAAAGATTGGGAGCCCGTGGTCTCA